TACATGAACGAAGCTACGTTTGTTCAATTAGGTTGTTTCATCGGATTTTATTTCAAGCCTTCATAAAGTTATAACATGCACTCTATTGTAATGATATTTGGTACGAGTAATCACATACAACAAGTAATCACATGAGTCAAGTTTAGTGGAAGTCGTTTTAGATATAACTTTTATTTAAAAATGTTGTTGGGGCAACCCACATTAACAATATGGCATCTCATGTTGCAACATCCTATACGGCAACGCCCATATAATAGGACGCCGTGCTACCGCCATTTTAGCTTGCTCAGTCTTGTTTTGTCTGTCACTCGAGTCTGACTCACTACATTGTAACTTCTACATTCCTTTTAAATTAGTAGCTGTGAACGCTCATCATCCAATAAATCTTTACACCTTTAGTATTAACAAACATTGGCTTTTATTCCAAACTATAAAAGTACAACAAAAGTGGCGACGAGGATAGTGGAAATTGATCAATAATTGCACACACAACAATCCGCAAAAATGTCTCAAGACATAATTCTACAATTGTTAACAGAGCAACAAAAAGCAATGTCGCAACAAACGCAACTGCTAAAGCATATGGCTGATCTTCTTCAAGCACAAGGAGCACCAAATTCACCACACTCACCACAAACATCAAATTCATCCAAAGCAGCACTAATGGAATCACTAGCACAGTCAATGACATCATTCGTATACGAGCCAGAGAGCGGTCTGATATTTCAAGCGTGGTACAACAGGTTTGTGCATGTTTTCGAAAAAGAAGCAAGCTCACTCGAAGAACATGACAAAGTGGCCTTGTTATGGAGAAAAATGTCGAACCAAGTACATGAAAGATTTGCCAACTACGTATTACCAGCAAAACCTGAAGACATGACTCTAAAGGATACAGTAGAGAAACTCAAGAAACTCTTTGGTAAAACAGAAACACAAGTCTCACAAAGATACAAATGCCTTCAGCTAGCAAAAGGCGACAGCGAAGATTTCAGAGAATACGCAAGCAGAGTAAACCTACAATGCGAACTATTCAAAATGAAAGAACTGAAAATCGACCAATTCAAATGTCTCATTTTCGTCTTAGGACTCAAGTCAGCAAAGGACAACGACATAAGACTTCGCTTACTAAAGGTACTGGATGATGAAAACACTACAATGAACCTAGATCAACTAGTAGACGAAACACAACGAATTCTAGATCTCAAATCGGACAACATTCTCATTGAACATCAATCAAAAATCGTCTGTTCACTCAACAAGCACGCAAAAGACTTCAAGAAGCACAAAACACCCAATTCACCCTGTTGGTATTGCGGAGACCTTCACTACGTCAAATTTTGTCCTTTCCAGAAACATAAATGCACAACATGCAATCAAGTGGGTCATAAAAATAACTTTTGCAACATCGCTAAGACTGGTAAGAATTTCAAATCATCGTCTGAAAACAACCAGAACGAATTCAAGAAATACAGCAATTCAAGGAAATCATTCAAAACTAAGGCAGTTTTCAAAACACACAACATTAATTTCCGCGACTTAAGGAAATACACAACTGTCCTAATTAACAACAATCCTGTAAAACTTCAAATTGATACTGCATCAGACATATCAATTGTATCTATCAACACATGGAAAGCTATAGGTAAGCCTGAAGCCTACGAAACTTTTGACAACGCTAGCGACGCAAACGCAAACTCAATCAAGCTCCTAGCAGAATTTCAATGTGACGTCACAATCGACAAAACATCAAAAACATTAAAATGTTATATAACAGATATAGAAAAACTCAATATCATGGGAATCGATTGGATTCAAGCATTCAATCTATGGCAGAAACCAATAACCTCATGGTGTCATCAAATAAACTTCGTTGATGAAATAGCAGAATTGAAAACGAATTATCAATCAGTTTTTGATAACAGTACCCCAGGTCTGTGCAAAACAAAAGTCAACATACAATTATTGCCAAACACAAAAGAAATATTCGTTCCCAGACGACCAGTTCCTTTCGCAGCAAGAAAGGAAATTGAAACAGAACTCCTCAGATTAGAAAACGCAGGAATAATCACACCAAATCCCAATGCACCAGAAGGTAAGTCTCCAGCAGAATCCTTCATCGGAAGAAAAATGAGAACGGTCTTCGACGTTCTAAGGAAGCAACAATCGCCTGAGTATAACGTCAATCATAAAATGGAACAGCAGTACAATACCAAACACGGTACCAAAAACAGAGAGTTTAGCAACGGAGAATTGGTCTATGCCAGAAACTTCAAAGGAAACAAAAGTTACTGGACAACAGGCGAAATAGTCGAGCGTAAAGGGAAAGTCATTTACAACACTCTAATCGACGTTGGGGACAGGAAAATTCTAGTACGAGCTCATACTGATCAATTTCGACATAGAGAATCGGTAGAGTCAAGCAGTCAAGAACGACAAAAACTACCATTGGACGTACTACTTGAAGAATTCGAAATCGCTTTGCCTAACCATCAAGAACATTTTGCAACTCCAACAGGTTCACCAAACTGGACACCTCAAAGAATAACAAGTCGCAGACAACCAGTCGAACCTATTTCAAGATCACCTTCTCATCTTAAGGAGGGAGATGTTGGGGCAACCCACATTAACAATATGGCATCTCATGTTGCAACATCCTATACGGCAACGCCCATATAATAGGACGCCGTGCTACCGCCATTTTAGCTTGCTCAGTCTTGTTTTGTCTGTCACTCGAGTCTGACTCACTACATTGTAACTTCTACATTCCTTTTAAATTAGTAGCTGTGAACGCTCATCATCCAATAAATCTTTACACCTTTAGTATTAACAAACATTGGCTTTTATTCCAAACTATAAAAGTACAACAAATGTCAACCGACTTCAAATGTTGATCGTTTTCTTTGGCAAGTTTGAAAAAGAAAGACAGATGGTCAGAATAAATGTTGAATATTATCGCAAAAATATTCTGGAGGGTGTATTAAAGCCTTGAGCACATTTTGATCGCAGACCTTGGACGTTCCAACAAAACTCTGCGACATCGCACATCGGGCCACCCAAGAAGGGTTACAAAACGAGGTTCCTTGCTTCATTTTCAGCGCACAATGGCCACCAAAATTTCCGGATACAAATCCATTGGACTATTGTGTCTGGAGTATTTTTGGAAAACAGGGTTGGCACTAAAAAATACCAAAGTGTCGATCAACTCAAGCAATTGCTTCGCCGGGAATGGGTAAATACCGCAGAGCAACATTCTGGCAGTGTGTGACAGTTCATTGGCCGTTTGAAGGCCATAATTCGTGCCAAAGGTGACCAATTCGAACAAATATAAACTTATTTTAAAATTTGATGCTATTTTCGACATTTTTTGCTTTCGTTCAATAAAATTTAAAAAAATGTAAAAATGATGGCGTTTGACTTTGTTGTAGTTTTTTTATCTCACCCTGTATGTGAGCTAGACTTAATTTTGATACTGAATTTTCGTCGTGCCAGGTTTGGACTATATTGGTTACTTCCGTCACTTTATGTGAGATTTGATAACTTTTAGAAAATGTTAAAATTACCATGAGGTACCAGATATAGTCGACCGTAGTATTCCATTTCAATACTTCATCTAATACAGATAAAAATGTTGGTATGGGCAAAATTACAAAAAAAATCGAACATTTATATTCAGTATTATGCGAAATCAGAAATTCCATATTCATCCCAGGTTTGTGGTTGAGAGAAAAATTTAGATATTGCAAGTTGTAAAGAATCGCTTGTTTAACAAATTAAGACAGATAAAAGTATTGAAAATTGTGACTCTTTGTGGGTGAGATACCAGAAGGGGTTCGCAGCATAGCAGATCATGTGTTAGTAGAAATAGTGGGATTTGTGAAATTTGAAGACTATCGAAATCCTTTTCACATTTTATAAGAGTTATAATTATTCCATATTTTGACCCTTTGTGGGGAATGTGCCAGAAGGAGCGGTCCTACATATTCCATCTTCACACCATATCTTGTTTTAGTAGAAATATAGAGATGTGTGAAATTTGAAGACGGTCGGATGCTTATTTCGCATTTCATGAGCGTTTGGTTATTTTGATCTTTTTGTGGGGGAGGAACAAGAAGGAGTGGACCGATATATCTTTACTTATCTTCACACCAAATCTTGTTCTGAAAGAAATATTGGGATGTGGGAAATTTGAGGAGAATCGGATGCATATTTCGCATTTTATAAGAGTTTAAACACGAAATCTAAATGTTGACCCTTTTTGTGGGTGGTACATGATTGATTAGCCGATATTGTCCATTTTCGCACCTGACATAACCAAATACAAATGTTGAGACATGCAAAGTTTACACAAAATTAAATAATCCCTTCTTATTCTATAGAACAAATTATTTTCTGTGAAAATGTTGACCTTCTATGGGGGAATGGACCGATATTGCCCATCTCTGAACTCGATTTTAGTGTAACAATAATATTGCGATATACCAAGTTTGGATCAAATCGGATACTTCCTTCGAGAGTTATCGTGCGCACCAGCCTTCCAGATGGACGGACGGATACCCCTAGATCTACTCCAAATGTCCTGAACCACATTTGGTCCAAATGATGATATATCCAAATGATATATACCCTCAGTTTCCATATTGCTGAGGATATAATAATACGATGTACTAAATTTTGAACCAACTAATGTGCTTTCTTTGAGAGTTAGCGTGCGCACCATCCCGCCAGACAGACGAACATGTCTAGATCGATTCCACATTTCCTGAAAAGAATTTTGTTCCAAGAGACATGCGGTTTAAAATATTTCGATTGGGCACACTTCAAAAGACATCTCATCTCCTCATGGGTTCATATTATTAAATGGACGCCTACTAAAATTTTGCGAAAAATTTTTACAAAATATCGACACACTTACTTTTTACTCTCTGTGCAACAAGTTTATACAATATTTATTATAAGTCATTATAAGTCATATCCAATCTCTTAATTTATTTCCTTTACAGCGCGAAGAAGAAAATTTAGTTAAGCTAACAGCCCGCGAAAGACGTTTCATAAAATTTTCTTCGGTCGAATACGATGGCCAGTTGTACATGACACCACAAGATTTTTTGGATTCTGTTGTGGAACAGGAACCAAGACGTAAGTGTTCTGTTTAATAAAACCCATTTTAACCCATTAATAATTTGGTTAACAAACCCTTAAATAAATCGATTCTTATAGCCCGCCTTAAACGAAAAGTGTTATCCGAACAGGAAGTTGCCAAAATCAAAGATATAACTCCGCCATTAAAGAAAGGATCCAATCAACTGTTTAGAACATTAAGAGACAAGGGTAAGGGACATTTGGTGACAAAAATCTGTTTTATAATATGAAATAAATTCTTCATTATCTTAATTGCATTTTTTATAGGAATTATTTCATATACAGAGTATCTGTTTCTGTTATCAGTTTTAACAAGTAAGTAAATGGCACAAATACATTTCCATATTTATTTACCTTTCATTTATTTGTTGCAAAATAAAAAATACATTTGTTTTTTTTTTTGCTTTTCAGAACCCAAGTCAGGTTTCCGCATTGCCTTTAATATGTTCGACACTGATGGTAATCAACGAGTTGACAAAAATGAGTTCCTAGTGGTATGTAAAACTAACAGATCAATCGATAAGGACAGTTTAGAAACTACATGGAAATATTACACTGTGGTATTCCATAATAAAATTCCATAGCATGTTGTATGTATGCAAAGACCTAGTAAATATCTCATGGAAATAATAAATGTATGCAAAGACCTATTAAATTCCCCAACATCTATTATCCCATGGAAATAATAAACTGTCCTTATTTATGTATAATAATATTAAAAAACATTAAAAAAATTATAATTTTTATTTCCTTTTGTTCATTTTATTTATGATTTTAATTTTAACTGTTTTCATTTAGGTTAGACAAATTTTGGGTGGCTCCTTTCACTCACATGACTTGGATGACGAAACAAGAGCAATTGTAAGCTTATCATTTTTTCAATTTTTATTTGAATGTACATATTAAGAAATCTTATTTGGAAAAACATATTGTCGGGAAATTTGGCTTCTGGAAGGAAATTGTTTAGGTAGCAATAAAGGAAATGTTATTTTCGAGCTATTTGAGGAAAGAATTTAAATGCCTCGAAATGAAAGAGGTACTTTACTTAAATTGTAAACCTGATTTTTTAAGGGGCCAAAAAAAAAAAAAATCACAAATGTTGGCCCTATTTCGCGCCGATATAACATTAGAAATAAAATATTAAATAAAGTACTTCATTAGTAGTTAAATTCGTTTATTATAATAAACCGTGAACCTGACAAAAAACCAGGCCAGGCTCTCTAGATCTTTCGTACTCAGAAAGCTTATGCAGTCAAGCCCATATACTTCGAAGTATAATCGGCAAAAAATATACATTTTAATCGAAGACAAATATAAATTATCCTCATTTTGATCATACATCGTTAGATCCAAACTAAACTAGACTATGATTTTGTGATCCTATATTGGCCTGAGAGCTCAATTGTGATTCATCTACAGGGAATTGCATTAATATTCTTATACGTATTCTACGATACGCCACTTTGTGGTACAGGGTATTATGACTTTGTGTATTTGTTTGTTTTGGACATTCAACCGAATTATAAAATTTGGCGAAACTGGGCTTTCGTATATGTATATATTGCTCAGATGTATTTCTTTTTTAATATAATACTTCTCGAAATCATACTACGCACTCGGCAGCAATGGTATTTGATACGAGAGGTACAAATGCCTCCATCAAGTTTGATGGAAGTCGACTCACAGTTGGATATATAACTCCCATATATTCCTTATTTCTACTTCACATAAATGCCTAATGTAAACGTTTTTCATTACGGGTAGCTCTACTAAATAGGTATTATGGTGTGGTGCAGGGTATCACACGGTCGGGCCAGATTGATTTTTTTGATGATATTTTTAGGAGAATATGCCATTGGAAAATGATTGAAGATCCCGGGGATTTCAGGTTATGCAACCAGTTGCATGGTCGTCCGCGAGTACTGTACCCTGTTATTAAGGTTTTCCCTACGACTCCTGTATGCAAAAAACAAAAATCGATTTTTCATACATGTGGAATGCCTATTCTAGGTTCTGTTGGTTTATACGGACACGCAGAAAATTCTGGACCAATAGGGATGTGCCCTGTTTGTCTCATTCGAAGTAGTTCCTTTGAATAGGTTTCTTTAGTTTGACCATATTAGGGCCTACATCGATTATTGTGCGAACATAGTCCCATTGCGTCGTTGTCGTAGTCAGAATACGAGACTCTTCCGAAAATCGCTATCGAATGCCTGGAAAAAGAGATGATAGGACTTCGGCTGTTTCAGCCTACAATGTGTCGAGCGATTTCGCTTTAGTCGTCAATAACAAAGACTCTTGCACTCCTCCCCATCATTGGTGAAAGTTGCCTATTATTAACAGGAGTGTAAAACCTAACCAGAACAAGCTATTGATGTAGTCAACTACCTAACCAGAACAGGTTATTGATGTACTTAACTACGTCGCAAGTCGTTTGAGAATGTCAAGGGAACCGTTGAAAAACCAACAATACTTTTGAACGCCCGTCGTATGTGGAATTCTTAAACAAGAAGTCCAAACCCCATAGAGTAAAACAGAGAGAGTGCAAGTCACAGCTATCTGCGACAAAATTAATAGTAGCAACAAGGTTTTCCAGACGGTAGCCGGCAGCATTTATGGTGCGTACAAGGAGAACTTACAAGAGTGCCTCCTTATTACTATTTACATGGGGAGACGAAAGTTCTCGTCCTGACGTACGACAAGTACCTGAATGATGTACCTGATTGGGAGTTCCGTGGGAGACATCCAAAATATTATATTGTGGATTAAAATATCCCCCGCCTAGGCGTGTCAGAAATGATCTAGAGAGACGTTCAATGATATAAGAGGGAGCCAGGTCTGAATAACAATAATTCCAATGCTGTCAGCGTTGTGATTAATCAATACAGTATTAAAGCTGACCTCGGAACTCTCCATCCATTGCAGTTAAAGAACAATTACGAGCAGGATAGTGGAGTACTTACAATTTGTATTGGGATGAATTTTCGAAAATGTGCAGAACAACTGTCCAACATTAGATACAGGGCCGCATACAACAATGAACCTATTTAATTGCCCTGCCAAAACAACCCAGCTAACTTCTGAAGCCCATAAAATAATCGAATATTTAGAGCTTAAATAGGAAGGGATCCTATCGCTTGACTTCATTCCGGCAATCATGTCGAACAAACTACTCCTCGTTCGAGTTTGAACGCAAAGTTTTCTATTATATGCTTGATGATTGCTCGATTATGACGTCGGGTAGGACATATGTGTAAGTTTAAACTTTCTACCAAATAATTCCAACCCTCCTTGGCAGCCGATCTTGTTACTTAATTCCAAATAAGATTTGCTTAATTATCTTTCTTTATTGTCATATATTTATTTATAAAACTATTATTTTATATATTTTTTTCTCATGAAAATTATAATATAGCTTGCCTTCCAGGAGTTTAATAGGTTATAAAAAATTCGAATAATTATATTGACATTCTCACCATCTTGAATAGATAAAACAAAGATCCAAAAAATCGAAAACTTATCTTCTTCAAAAGATGGTGAAAGTGATCGTTATAATTATACCCTCAACCACCTTATGGCTAAAGAGGGTATATATCATTTTTTCCTTCTTTTCAATATTAATGATTTTATTTTATTTCAAAAAAAAATCGGCATTCAGCTTAAGCGTTTAGTTTCCACCGAAGAACAGGCCCGTGAATTGTATTACAAGAAAAAGACCAAAGATAAGCCTAGCCAAAATGCATTTGTAAGTTTCAGCGGTGGATTTGTTTTTGACAATCAATGCCTTTCGTTTTCATTCGTTAATTTGAGTTAATTTTATGTGTATGTTTTATTTTTTCGTTTCTGTTTTGAAGTTTCTGCTTTGTTTTGTTTAATTATTAAGAACAATTGGCTTATATTGTTATGTCAATGCCCTTGATTCTACAGCTTGCAGCATTCCTTTCAGCTTTAGAAAAAATAAGCTATTTTAAATTTGATTTCGGTCATTGCAAAATATTAATAATGGCCCACAAATCAAGGCAATTCTGTAAATAATTATTGAACTATTTTATTTTTTTTTACAAGATCAACATTTATTTTAGAGATTCTGAAGTATGCAGGGTGAGATAAAAAAAACTGTAACAAAGTCAAACGCCATAATTTTTAATTTTTTTATAAATTTTATTGAACGACAAAAAATGTCGGAAATAGCATCAAATTTAAGAATAACTTTAGATTTGTTGGAATTGCTCACCTTTGCCACGAATTATGGTCGTCAAACGGCCAGAATTCGCTGCCCGAATTTTGCTCTTTGGGCCAAAATACCCATTCCCGGCGAAGCGCTTGCTTGAGGTGATCGACACTTTGGTATTTTTTAGAGCCAACCTTGTTTTCCAAAATACTCCTGACACAATGGTCTAACGGATTGGTATCCAGTAATTTTATTGGTCATTGTGCGCTAGAAATGAGGCGAGCAACCTCTTTTGGTAAACATTCTTGGGTGGCGCGTGCTAAGTCCTGTTGGAATGTCCAAGGTCTGCGGCCAAAATGTTTGCATGCCCAAGGTTTTTATTCTGATGCCACGGTCGATTCATACGAGCGGTTAGGGACCATCGGCGGCCCACACCATCACCATGGCCGGCGCTTAAGTTCTGGCGGCCAACCGAAGGTGCACATTTTCAGCTGACCTCTTTGGCAAGTAAACACGATCATTTTGTTTGTTTACAAACTGCTGGACAACGAATGTTTTCTCACCGGAGAAAACCAAATTCGGTAGTTCACCACTTTCGGTCAAGTGAAGCAACTCTTTAGCTCTTTTAAGTCTATTTTCTTTCTATTGCCGGGTAAGTTCTTGCACTTTTTGGAATTTCAATGGCCTTACCCCGAGCTCATTTTTCAATATTTTCCGAATGGAATATTGCGATATGTTCGGCTCACGAGCCATTTTTCGGCCACTGCGTCGCGGGTTTCGATCAAGTCGCTTCTTTACTTTTTGAACCATTTCTGCTGATATTGCTGTTTTCTTCCGTCTACCTCCTTGACGTCGGACTACGCTAGCAGTATCACAGTAACGAGCGATGGTACGGGACACAAAAGATTTATTCACATTTAAATGCTGGATTGCTCTAACGATAGCCACTTGTGGTTTTCCAGCCAAATATAAAGAAGTCACACTATCACGCTTGAATTCCATCACGAATAATTTTTTTCTGGAAAATTCTCACCAAAATGCTTTTGTAGGCTTGTAAAAAAATATAATGAGCTGTCGCTGGAATAATTTTAACAGCTGTCGTAAGAGTGGCGTAGAAATGACAGCATTCTGAAGTTGGTTGCAGTTTTTTATCTCACCCTGAAGAATACTTGCCAAAATTGTTTTCCGTCTGCTGCCCAAATCTCGTTTTTATTTTGATAAATTTGTTCGCCTATTTTCTCAAACTAGCTTTTGTTTTGTCCAACTAGCAAGCTGCGCCTTAGTTCCGTTTCTTGTTTCTCTGACAAAGACGTACATTTCCGTTGTAAGTTGTAAGTAAACACAAAAATCTATTCGAATATGAATGGGGTCACCTAAAATAGCCCCCCCCTTCTATTGTGTTTTTGTCCTAGTTTTAAGTGATGTTCCTGATTTTTACCCATCTTTAATTGGCTTTATTGATTTTTATTTTAAGTTTGTGCAATAAACTCCATAGCACAGTGTTTTATTTTTTATAAAATGTATTAATTTTTTTTATTTTGTACAAAACTTGAGAGTATGGTAACTAATAAACTCTTTTATAATATAAATATCTCCCCCTTCTCTCCTTGCTACTTTTTTATTCCCCCTACCACAACTATGCTAACCCCTACAATGCTAACATTTAACCCGACTGGATACTCCAATTCCAATCCCTGTGAATGAATGTATTCTCTATCTGTGTAACCATGTTTTGTGATAAGATGGAACGTATATTTAGTGGAGCATGGAAAGATAAACGTGGCAAAAATAAAACCGAAGATGTGGCCACAGAAGAAGTTAAAAAATCCAAAGAGGAAGAAGAAAAAGAAGAGGTACAGTATTAGGGAAGACAACACAATGGCTTCTCCCAAAACCATAATGTGAAAGATCCCATAAATCATGTAAAAAAAACTACATCATCATGTATATTTTATATCTCCAAAAAAGAGAACTAAAGCGTTTGTATTCCTGGCATATTTTATGTTAACCCTTTTCCAAATTTTGCAAGTGACTAAACATTTTTAGAAAACGATATTATATCCACATTAAAAAAAAAAATACACCTTTGTTCTATGAGATTATAATCTACATTTTTCCAAAAAAACAGGACAATTACATCGATGACGAAGAAGGATTACAGCGCAAACATAAAGTCGACACCACCCTGCAAGTCCATTTGTTTGGCAAGAAGGGTGACAAGGATCTGTACTATGAGGGCTTCTACAAATTCATGGACAACCTGCAAACCGAAGTGTTGGAATTGGAATTCACCGAGTTCTCGAAAGGCAACAAAGCCATTACTGAAGTAGATTTTGCCAAAATTCTACTGCGTTACACCTATTTGGATACCGAAGAATATGATAGCTTTTTGGAGCGACTGCTGGATCGTGTCAAAGATGAACAAGGCATAACATTCGATGAATTCCGTGATTTTTGCCGATTCCTTAACAATTTGGATGATTTCTCCATAGCCATGCGTATGTACACTTTGGCTGATCGTGCCATTTCAAAAGGTAATAATATTGAAAGGGATATGATTCCTTATCCCCCATATTACTTTTAGGGAATATTGTAATTTTTTTGGAATGCAATGGAGTATTTGCCATATTCACCAAGAGGTTTTTGTTGATTTCCAAAAAACTCCAGACACAATAGTCCAACGGACTGGTATCCAGAGATTTCGGTGGCCATTGTGCGCTGGAAATGAAGCGAGCCACCTCATTTTGTAAACATTCTTGGTTGGCGCGTGCTGAGTGCGATGGTGTCCAGTCCTGTTGGAATGTTCAAGGTCTGCGTCCAAAATGTTTACCTGCCCAAGGCTTTAATACATCCTCCAGAATATTTTCGCGATAATATTCGACATTTATTCTGATGCCACGGTTGATTAATACGAGCGAACAGCGACCATCGGCTGTTATGGCGGCCCACACTTGAGTTCTGGTGGCCTACCGAAAGTGCACATTTTCAGCTGACCTCTTTGGCAAGTAAACACGATCATTTTGTTTGTTTACAAACTGCTGGACAACTATTGTTTTCTCATCGGAGGAAACCAAATTCGTCAGTTGGCACTTTCGGCCAAGCGAAGCAACTCTCTAGCTCTTTTGAGTCTATTTTCTTTTTGTTGCGGTGTAAGTTTTTGCACTTTTTGGAATTTCAATAGGTTTACCCCGAGCTCATTTTCCAATATTTGCCAAATGGAATATTGCGATATGTTCAGCTTCAGCTCACGAGCCATTTTTCAGCCACTACGACGTGAGTTTCGATCAAGTCGCTTCTTTACTTTTCGAACCATTTCTGCTGATGTTGCTGTTTTCTTCCGTCCACTTCCTTGACGTCGGGGGGATGTCAAGAGGAGGCGCTCTGTCGCCCGATCCATTGCGTTATAAGATCTCATCAAGGTCTCCATGTTCGCACATCAAGTGCTGTCGACTAGTGCCTTGAGGATATGGTTCCTAGTTTCCATAGCATTTGTATTCCTAGACCACACTGGTGTCGCATATATGACCACAGACCGACCCATTGCTGTCGACTAGCGCCTTGAGTATATTATTCCTACTTTTCATTTTGTCGCAGATAGCTGTGTGAATGTGAATATGCTGTCGAATGTGAACCCTAGTATCTTGGAATACTTCGTAATCGGAATTACATTTTCCTCGATCTGCACATTCAGCTGTGTTCTCATCTCCGCAGACTATGTTGCATAGAGTGTGGCTATTGACTTAATATTTTCATATTCCTCGCTTGGAAGAACGCGTCTGCAAGATAGGTGTTCAGTCTTACAAATATGTCATCAACAATAGAGCCAGAAGCCTTGAACGGTCAATCCTCCGCATAAGTTACGATTTCAGGTTGGATTGCGAGGAATTCTGGAAAAGTTAAGGTTAATTATCTAACGTTTCAAACAGTCGACGGTCTTCTCTCTTATTGTAAACTGTGGTGATGACCTCCTTGGCGGAACAAACGCTGTATTGTACTCGAAGAAGAACCCGTATGCAATACAAACATTTTTCACAAGCTGCAATCTTGAAGCACTTAAATTGGTCTAGAAGATTTTAGTTGGGTTCGATTTAAAGATGTACAGCTACACAGGACTCGATCCTTTACTAGGGGATGTTTGGTTCATCGGGATTTTTTTAGGAATGGCTTTTGATTTGATGTTGCTTAGTTCTCTTACCATCTGCCTTGATTTCAGGAATCTCTGGGTAAAAACCGCAACAATTATCGTTTATATGAGCACCTAATAATTGGATTAGGACAGAATACGCCAGCACCGGCGCCTTAATCCATCTTGGAACCATCTGTTCCTTTTTTTGGATTATTTTCCTTTTGACATATATAAAACCTCATTTCGCTTTAGGTCTGAGGTAGTATTAAAGGATCAGTTCATGCTTCAAATCGTTAATTTTTTATTTAAAATTTTGTCTTTAATTTCAGATGAATTCTCTCGAGCTGTAAAAATCTGCACTGGCTATTCTCTTTCGCGTCACCTAATCGATACCGTTTTTGCAATCTTCGATCAGGATGGCGATGGTTTACTCTCCTACAAGGAGTTCATAGCCATCATGAAGGATCGTCTGCATCGTGGCTTTAAAGTAAGTGGTCATGCTTTCGAATATAACGAGCTATTAGATACATACGATGAACCTGAACAGCCGATGTTTGCTGTTTGGCGTAAGCGTGTCTGTCGCAATCTGGATCATTTCTATGAGAATGACGTTCTATGAGAATATTTTGTTGATGTTATTTCTTTTGTATTTGTCACAACAGCGCCTTAAGCACAGCACAAAGCTTAATTTAATTACAACTTTTTTTGTTAACAAAAGCAAAGCTTAAATGTTCAAATATTGGATAATCTTAAAAGACTTAAAATTTGTTGAAATGTTCCGCTATGTAACTTGGAGCACTTTAACTACTAACTCTTTCTAGACTATCCCTTATTATCCAGTCGTTCGCACAAATAATCTCACACAATTAATGAAAAGACATGACAAGACTATGTACACCATTTTGTTTTTTTAATTGGATGTTTAGTCAATAAGTTTTAAATTATTTGCTTTAACTGTTTTATTTTACGTAATACTGTCTTATAGCTTTAAGCGCATTTTTTAATTTATTTGTTAAATTATTTTAATAAATTTTTTACACGACACACATACTCAAATCATCTTGTTTTAATTGGCTGTAAAATTTGTTTTTACTTCTTTCTAAGGCGTTTTGTGTTTATCTGTGCTTTCTGTTACTAAATTTTTATTATTTTTCGTTATATGCATTTCAAAAATAACACATGTCATAAAAATTAAAATCTAATTAACATTCATTCAAAAACATGAGATATATTTTAAAAATCAAACACAAGAAATGATGGCGACTAAATGAAACGGCAAAAAAACCTATCACCATCAGTTCACTTTGCATTCAGAACCCCATAACATTTCTGTGATTTGATCTTTTTATTGTCAGTCAAAAATGTTAAATTTCATTTTACATTCCTTCCAGTTTCGTTTTTGTCTACCATAATTTTATTTAACCCATTAAGTTTCGCTGTTGTCTATGGGTGATATTTTGTAATCAATTTATAGCGATCTTCGAAAAAAGTTGTACCTTCAAAGTACTGATTTTAACTAAAAAGTTTCTAATCTAGATGTTTGTAGGATATAAGTTACAGCGCCATTGCGATGTCTTACTAATCGCATATTTAAATCGAATTTTTGGACCTCAACATTCAGTGCGTCTCGATTATATTCTCTCTTTAACGATTATATTCTCTCTTTCACGATTATATTCTCTCTTTCACAAGTTTTACCGCAGAACCTCATCAGCCTCGTCCGTTAGTCACTGGAAGGTTTGATATTCAATTTTTCGACCTAATATGTAGCACGTGGCTGCAGGCATTTCATATCCGAAAATCATTCCGGCTACGCGTACATTAGAAGTCTGAAGTAAGAATTGATGATGTATCTTCCATACAGTTAAGGACAACGCGGCATTCAGAAGTTGCAAAATTGGGTAAATTGGGAATGGAAACGTTTGTAGAGGTTGCAATCTTTTACCAATGAGGTGATCAATTGCTGTCATTTAGCCAACTGTCCACTCTCCCCTTTATCGGCTGGGGAAAGCCAAATTCTCCGTGCCAAACGTGGAGCAGCATTTGCATAGCAATTGTTCCGTCTCTTTCTCATATTTTCAGATTTATTAGAGAGAGAGAGTAAATCTTTTTGATGCCGGCGTCGCTCATGTTACCATATTCGAGACTATACATTCAGTCTCTTCGGTTCATGTTTAGTGGTCTGTACATCAACCAGACTGATGTCTATGTTCGAAAACGTGTAATGGTGCAGACTTTCCTGCATAAAGCGAGCTTTTTTCCTCTTTATTATCTAGTGACTCCATGGGGGGAGACGGAATCGTATCCAACCTGGGCCGATGTTAATTAGACCCTCACGAATATTTAATATTCTTCACCGTGCAGTTAGTGGTCAGTTTTATGAGGAAACGAAGGTTCTTCTTTTACGTCAGCATAATCATATGTTTTCATTACGTACCTGCTTGGGTGTTTTCGTGGGAGTCATCCTATCCATTATGTGGTGGACAGAACTCTCCCAGTCAGGCGTGAGAGAGTTGGAACGGTACAAGAGAGAGCTTCTAGATCAGGAAGCCTATCAAGCGGGTCTGAATAGCATTCATAATGATGGATGTAGATAACCATTACAATATAAATGCCATCCTCTGAGCCCACCCCCGTCCATTGCAGCTGAAGAAAGTCGATAGCCCAAGCAAACCAGTGTAGTTTTGGGCCAACTACGTTCAGTATGATGCAGCCGTCTAAATTCGTATTGGGCACGAATTGATGAAGATGTGCGGAACGTCTGCCCAGCGTGAGACAATACGCTGCGTCTTTTCAGCTGTCCTACCAAACCTACCCAATTCAGTCTAGAAGACCCATAAAGGTAGCAGAATTTCTAAATCTGGACATCGAAGCATAACCAGATTAACATCGGGGTCACCCTTATTAATCATTGCCACGCTTAACTCAACGGGAACCGTCTTCGAGCAGCTATGCCCGCTTGAACTTTCTCGGTAGTGCTTTCCTTCGCTCGTTTCCACAGAGTAATACGTAACAGACGGATTCTTGGTCTGACATACGCCCTTACTACTTGGCATTGTAATAAGGGTCCTCCGACGACCTTACAACCTAACAGTCTTTGGATGCGGACTGAGCTCAGCCATCTTTAGACCATCTCCTTTCTACGAAGAAGCCAGGACGGCGCCCATATGCCACTCTGCCACTATTGGTTGCCTTTTACTTGGAGGGCTTGACAACTATCCATTGGGAGGATTTCTTTTGGAGTTCACTGTCCTTTTATTCCCCTTTATTAGGATTGAGCTGAGAAGCAGTTGTAGCCTGTCCTGACTCCTTTATCACTACGATCATCACCTTAATTGGCTCCTGCTATTTTCTCGTCTAAGCGCTTTGCAGGTCTGGACAACCATCTGGCACACTGCTTAAGAAGAGTTCCCTAAGGCCGCTCCTAAATTACAAATTTCAAATATTTTTTATATATTTTATATGAATAAGATAATTTTTTGCTAGTTGACCCACCCAATTGTTTGCCTCAATCCAGTTCCTGGTTACTCGGTCATTTACTTTGAGACCTAGCTGTGGACCACCCTTATAACTATATACTAAACCTTTAACACCTTATTTTTTCCACTATTCTTCTTTCTTCCAATTTCCTATTCGAATGAACACACAGGACCAGCAAGTCTCCGAGTGGAGCGGTTACCAAAAGGCAACCAAACCTACTATTAGACCTTCCCTCTGGATCCTTTCCTTTATATTGCGGAATTAGGACATATCGCTGACACTTTCTACCGCCTCCTTGAAGCAGACCCAGTTTCTGTGTTTGGTTCTCTTGATCTTACAATTGTATTTACTAGGAACTACATTATAGCCATTCCAGTCTGGACATCATTTGGTCTTGTTGTGCCTATTGTATCCTAACCTTGAGCTGGTATGAATTTTTCCTCAGAATTGGCTTTTTATGCATTTGGTTATAAAGTATAACACGGTTTTTCATCTTCACGCCTGCAGTAATTGCATTTTAAATTCCTCGTCGAAGATCCGAATATGTTGTGAGGTGCGCTTCTGATTATTATTCTTCACCTGTTTGCTAACAAAATGTTCTTGCCAATCTTGAACTAGTACCCATATCGCTTTAATTTCAAAGTTTGAGCCTTTATCTGTTGTATATGTTATTTGGAATAATAGAGTGAAGTAAGTGAAACATCGTCCTGTGAAAAGGTCCAGTCATTTGGTATATGTTTATTAGAGGAGTAGTCTTAGTTTTCGCCCATAGTTGATCTAAGAAGTTTAGCTTGAAATTTCATTTCAAAAAAGTGTTTGATTTCCAACACATAACTTCATTGACTCCCATAAACGTAATTACAAAAGACAGAAAATAATTTACCTTAACCACTTTCAAATAAAAACGCGGTAAGTAATTATAGCATACAGCTCACAAAAATTTCTAGCAAAACCAAATATCATTAAATGTACCGACACCCTTTTTAAAAAAAAAAAATAACCCATTTGTTCATTATCTGCTTTGTCATCTTTCTTTTCAGTCGGTGGGCAAATCTGAAGGATGGGAAGCATTTAAATCGTGCATTAAGCAAGATATGAAACAAAATAAGTAAAATCATCCGCTTGCTTTGTGGGTGCGGTGTGCAATCGACAACTTATTATCTGAAAGAAGCTTTATTGACCAAAAATTAAAAAAACTACTAACTTAATATGTTGATGCCTAATCTAGCCAAATGAAATACAATTTTCAACTTTTTTTAGAATCAATTCGAACAAATTTAAACTTATGGAATCAAATTTGACCAATTATTTTATTTTGTAAAAAATAGACTATATTTTCATATTTAAAACAAAACAATTAGATGTAATTTAAGAGATGTTCAAAATTCTTTTATTTATTTATTTATTTTATTTTAATTTGTTTTTGTTAAACTGTTATCAAAGTATTTTGAATTCAATTGTTAAATTATATAAAATAATATATATAAAAATATTTCCCTACAAAATGTACCTATGTACCATTATTTTATATGTAAATTATTATTGCCTTATGGCAGTCAGTGAATCCAAGAAGTGCGCTTTCATGTCCATTGTATCTGGTTATTCTTTGTCCTCGGTCCATGTCCACCAGCATATTAGCGGTAATTCATCAAAAAATCGAACATTCATAACACTTGTCATTGTTAAACTAAATAGCAAGACAAAAAATTGTATTCTGTAGATTTTAGGAATTATTCAAAATACTATGTGAGTCGCCATATTTGATTTAGCGTCGATCTCAAAAATATAAAAAGAAAACACTCCCTCCAGTTTAGATTGCTCGACAAACTTCGATTGAAATTACTATTATACCCTCCACCGTAGTAAAGAGGGTATATTAAGTTTTTCATTCCGTTTGTAACAAATGGAAATATACATTTTAGACCCCACAAAGTATATATATTCTTGATCAGCATAAAATTGTATGTCGATTTGGTATAGCTCCCATATAACGGTGCCTCCCGATATTCGGTGATTTGATGATTTCAGCAACATTATTTACCGGAATTGTTTCAAATTTGGCATTTAAAGTTCGAAATATATACTACAGCCTATGATAGGAGATTGTCTGTGCAGGTCCACGTCTTCGTATAGCCCCATATAACGGTACCTCCCGATATTCGGTGTTTTGATGTTTTTAGCCACATTATTCACCGAAATTGTTTCAAATTTGGTATTTGAAGTTCGTAATGGATAATACAGCCTAAGACAGGTTCACGACTTCGTATAGCCCCCATATAACGGTACCTCCCGATATTCGGTATTTTGCTGATTTTTGCTACATTATTCACTTTTTTTTTAAAGTTTCGCATTTGAATATTGTAATGGCTTATGACAAAAGTTACCTATGCAGGTCCATGTCGTCGTATAACATAACAACTACATTCGATATTTTTAAGATTTTAACAGAATTATTAACGGATTTTATTGTTTTTGAGAATTTCCATATTCGTTCCAAATGGTTGAGGGTACTCAAAGTTCCTCCCGGCCGAACTTACAGCTTTTTTACCTGTTTTTCTAGACAATTTGACCCGACCGCTATCTTGTCGGTCTGATTTGTAGGTCATATTCACATTTGGAACACTGATGTTCATTTCAATATCCTTGTCGTAATAATCGGTAATCATTTAGAGAGTTGTAGCCATAAATCCTTAGGCGTTAAATGAGCTTTGGTAGGACAATTGCATATATGTAGTGTGGTGTGTGGTTGTTAATCTGGTTCTGCTTCAATGTCTAGTTTTAAGTTATGTTCTATAGTCAAAGATCCTTTTGGAGTGAGTTGGGTAGGTTTGGCAGGGCAATAAAAAATGCAGCTTATTGTGCGCTTCTGTATCGTACGCTTGGTAGACGTTTCGCACATCTTCATCTATTCGCGCCCAATACGCAATGAGACGGATATACCATCCTAATGTAGTTGAGCCAAAACTACCCTGACCCGCTTGAGAGGCTTCATGATCTAGAGGCTCTCTCTTATATCGTTGGACCTCTCTCTCTCTCTCTCCTTTGACCACCAGGTCCTTCCTGACACGCCTGGATAGGGATGTTCTGTTCACCATATATGGTTATGGTTAGGAAGACCCATACAGTAACACCCAAGCAGGTACAGCAACGAAAGCATATGATTAGGCTGGCGTATGGAAAGGACATTCGTCTCCTCATGGAGATAGTCCACTGATTTGGTGGCGGGATATTACCCTACCTTGGGGTACTCCCTGTTTCACTCTACGACACTTGAAATGAGGAATATGAAAATATCCGCCACGAAATCAACGGTCACACTCTTTACCACATGGTCTGCGGAGTTGAGAACACATCTGAATATGCAGGTCGAGGGAAATTTAATACCGACCACGAACTTTCACCAGATTCTAGGGGTCACATTCGACAGCATGTTCAAGTCAAGGTCCTCAAGGCGCTAGCCAGCACCACTTGAGGTGCGGACAAGGAAACATTGTTGGTCTCTCATAACGCGATAGGTCGGTCTGTGGTCAGCTATGCGGAAGAATGCCGTCCTCGGAGACCACCCCGAGTCGCCTCTTTCCGTATTGGGCACGAATTGACGAAGATGTGCGAGACGTCTGCCTGACATGTGATAGCCCTCACAATACGCTGCACCTCTTTAATTACACAGCCAAACCTACGCAACTCACTACAGCTTGAACCAGATTAGCAGAAAACAAGCTGGGGAGAAGCAAAGCCTTAAGAGTAATTGTTACTGTCGACAAAACAGTACGACTCGCCTTTGCTAGCATCCTTGCCTGGCTTCAGTAGCGGGACCACCCTGCCCATTTTCCAGGATCCGGGATCTATGTGGGTGGCTAACGACAAGTTGATGTCCAGTTATACATTGCGATGTGTCTGTTGTTTTTGAAATTTAAAAAGAGTAAACTAATCCAGAATTATACAAAAAGAAGTATCCTAGTTGTTATTTTTTGTTTTATTATATTTATTTATAATAAAATTACAATTGTTTAAATAAAATGGATTTATCAAAACATTTAATAGAAAGGGATTTTGGTGGTAAGTAGAAATTATACATAAACATACGTAAATATTACAAAATTTTAAATTGAACCGGAAACATTAATTGGTCTCAGTACACAAATATATGAAATCTTATCAAAAAAAAGAGGAATCATTTTCCATACATATAAATTGCATTAAACACAAATATAAATTTGTCATTTATCAAAGGAAAAGGGGGTAAAGGGCAAATTAAAAGGGGTCATTGAAATCAATTAGAATATGGTTATACATTAATATTTATCACAGACATTCAGTATTTCGGTTAAATGAGGATATCTGCCTCTTAACACAGAGTCCTCCTCAATTAACTAAATACATAGATTTTCTTATTTTAACTAACTTACTAACTAGAATCATTTTGTGTTTCTCTAAATGTGTGCTTACAAAAATTAGATTTTCTTACACTTACATATCATTCGTGTTTTTGTGAGCTATATAAAACTGGCGGCGGAATCGTTTAAACAAAATTTGCTACAGGGACGCTAAGTGGGTGGTATATATCATCAACCATTTCAAATTAAAAAATAAGAACTAGGTTTCATTTAAATAATAATCAAACTTAAAATTGCACATCATAATTACTATTCATCTTTTGGCATAACATTAGGAGCTGTTGTCGTCGTTGACAGAGTCCAGGTAACATTTTTCTCTTTTTTGTTTAAGTTATAATTGCGATTTGAGGACTTTGTATTGCGTCTAAATTTAAAGTTAGCAAAAACATCCCGCTTTTCCTCATCATTACCACCGTTATCGCCGAAATTGCGTTGTAAACCAGCGCCTTGTTGGATGTCATCATCACCACCTTGTTGTGGTGATTTACGGAAATTATAGTTGCCTTTACGTTGTCTGGCCTGCTGCTGCTGTTGTTGTTGGGATGTCGGTGTTTTCTTGGGACTATTTGTTGGCTTTGCCAACGGTTTGGGATCCCTTTGCAAGAGTGTGGGATAGAGATCATCGTCAGCATCGAAATACTCTGGACGTGTAAAATAATATGTAGAATTGTAGTAGGATCTAAAAATGGGCTCATTCGAGCAAATACTAAATGCATGATAGGCATGCGATATCAAATGTGGAAATCTACTGATCCAATAATTTGTGAATTCATGTGGAATGCTGCCAAGTATATTTTGCATCTCTTCAGTTAGTTCGTGGTAATGGTGTTTCTGTAAATAAAGAGGAAATTACGTTATAGACAAAAAAGAAATGGTTTTCAACGTAAAGAGAGATTTCTTGAAAATCTATGTAGATTCAATAGTGATTTTCTGATCTGCTATAAATTAGCCAACCCTATAGGGTCACCATAAACGAATGGCCAAAGGACTTTTTAGAACACAAGACTACATATCGTTTCAAATTCAAGAAACTATGTAAAATCCTCCCTTCAAAAGTGCACTTTTTTGACTTACCTTATTTCTTAAAGCTCTCAATAAATCTCTGACACTTGCACCCATATAGCCACGGAATTTACGCAAATCTTCTGTTATAATAGGATCCAAATGAAGATTCCAATCTTCCAGCACAACAATATTGCCATTCTTTTCCAACGACTTCAATGGCTCCACATTAAATTGTAGCTTTTCCACGCGATCGCTAACGTCTTGTAGAAAGGCCAATATCTTTTTATCATTCCAAAATAGTGGATGATTGCCAATACATTTGGCTGGTGGCCGACACTGAGGATCGCGATGAATCATGTCGCTAATAAGTTCAGAAGCCAAAATCTGAAAGAATGGATAATACATTAAATCAGAGATAAATAATTAAATATGCGGAAAAAAGACTAAGCAAGAAGATCGACAACAAGAGACAAGATTAAATTGTTAGGTAACATGCGGTCTTACTACGGTCGAGAGGGAATTTACTGTTTTGCGCACTGGATTAGGTTGCCCCCACCCCATTTAGGAGAGAATACCACAGATCGCCAGACAACCATCGTGTCTCCAAGTCCCTTAACTGACAACTTTTCAGACCATCATTCCATAATCGTATTCATATGCAGATTGCTCAATTTCATTAACTCTGAACTCCACACTTTCCTTAAACATGGGAGAGCTCACTATACAGAACTCGAAGAGTGTTCACCAACAGTCGCTTCAGAAAACTGCCAAACCTTTCTTATGTTCGGGTAACAGAAAGGATTTTCCGCTGCTGGTTGAACCCCCGACATAAGACCAAATTTCCCAATAGAAGCAACAAATGAGCGTGATGAACACTGTCGTTCGAACCCTACTGATGCCAGAGTCAATAAACTGACAATAGAGCTCAACAAGATGGTGCATGAGTACAATAGTAAAAATTGGGTAGTCCATGTGAAGTATTCCTACATTGAGATCGAAAACTCGAAAAAATTAAATTATTGGAAAAATGATGGTAACGGTTGTTGTAACAGCTCATACTGCTGTGCTCGTTCTGACTCCTCTCAATCAGGTTCTGCTTCTAAGTCCAGTCTCAAAAAGGATGCAACCTGTATGGGTTGTGTCCACAACTATACTGGATTTAGTTGAGTAGGTTTGGCTGGGCAGCCGAATAGGTGCAGCGGATCTTAACTGAGCCACAACTACCCCGGTTTATTGGGGCAGCTCTCGCGCTTCATCTGCGATGGGAGGGGGATGGTCTCCTAATACAGTATTCACTCTATATCCATCCTTGACTTCTGAGACCGCGTTGGAGTGAATACTATTCAGTCCGTCTTGATAGGCTGTCGATCTAGAGACTCTCTCTTATACCTCTGTACCTCTCTCTCTAGATGATGAAGATCTTTCCTTACGTGCTGGACGGAAGTTGCCTATCCACCAGAAGGTGATTGAGATGGCTCTGTCTGTAACACCCAAGCAGTTATTGCATTGACAGCATTATATTATGATGCCGCACCGGTAAGACCTTCGCCTCATGTGGGTGGTCGACAGATGTCATGAGGAGGCACCCTGTTGCGGTTCTAAGGGCGGAATTCTGGCAGGACTAAATACTTTTCCACTGCGTAGCACTAACCGGAGCCACATAGTTTAATGGCGATTAATGTTACTGAAACCAAGCAAGAATTATTGCAAAGGCATTATTTTACTTTTTTTGCCAGCAGCGAAGACTCTTGAGGTTTTACTCCTCCCCCATCTACTTGTCGATCATCACCATACGTTTCAACTAGAACAAGCCGTGTTAGAGAATAGTGTTGGTCAAAGAATGTTTGAGGATGTGTGGCCACCAATCGACATGGAATTCCAGATCCTGTAGAGTGAAACAGAGATGTCCCAAAAATGGGATAATATTCGCATCCTCCACACGATGATTGCACGATCATTGCTTCAGGTCCTGTGATTGATGAAGGTCCTTCTTGTACGTCAGTGTAACAATATGCTTTCGTTGCAGTACCTGTTTGGGTGCTATCGTGGGAGTCATCTAGACCATCAACCATTGCAATATAATTGCAGTCTTCGGATTCCATCCATTTCAGAAGAAGAACGTTGGCTGTCTAAACAAATAGTTTTGGCCCACTGAGGGAGCGAATTGACGAGAATGTGTGAAACGTCTGTCTAGCATGTGGCACAAGCTCGTATACAAAAATGAATTTTTAAGCTGCCCGTTCACAGCCTACCCAACTCCCTGCAGAAAATCATTGTGCCCAGCCTATCAATGTAGATGAATTTTATAATCTAATCTAAATATAGAAATGAAGAACCTGATTTGCAGATCTTTGAATGCTGAATATATAATTGCTACAATAACAACGTGAGAAGAAATGCGTTGTGCGGAGCGCAATATTTCAATATCTGAGATGAATTTTCCATCCATAATATATTCAGATATATCTTAGAGAAATACGTAAGTGTAGTCGATAAAAATCCATTTTGTAAAACTGACTAGCTCAATAATCTGCGTGTAAGTAACGTTCGCATAAATAACCTTGTAGACATACTCACATATTTACTACGTTCTTCTTTGCGTTCAGCTTTCAAGTGATACAAACTGTGATCATTTGTTAGAATGTTTGCCTGACGCTTGAGAGCATCTCCAAACAAATGTTGGCCTTTACTTAGCACATAGAAGTAAACACAGCCCAATGAAAATATATCAACAGATGTGGTCTGAAATATAAAAATATTAAAAATTAATACAATATCTGCTCTGCAATAAATATTTTACATTACCGTTCTTTGTCCTCTCATCATTTCGGGTGCTATCCAGCCATCGGTACCCGTGACACCTGAACGTCTGGAGAAACTAGTTTTGCCATAATTAAGTTTCTTGCACAGACCAAAATCCGATATCATGACTCGTACAATTCCATTTACATCCGGTAAAGACAATAGAACATTTTGTGGTTTTATATCACGATGAACTGCAAAGTGGAAATATGCATTAGATTGAGATTATGATGCAACTTATTATTATATATGACACCGCGATAGTTCTTTTTTAATATCAATCAAATCTAATGGGGCAGTAAATTTCTCACCTATATTCAATGAGTGCAAATGACTTAGCCCAGCCGCCGCCTGCTTCAGCACCTCCCACACATGAATTTGCGAACGTAACTCAAGGCTACGTTCTCCCTCGGTATAATCTTGCAATGTTGCTGCACACAACTCCACGGCAATATAACGGAATTGACGATCCTGCTCGGTGCAAAAATAACGCACCACATTTTCATGGGCATCACTTTCTCTCAGTAGAGCCACTTCACGATCGGCAAATGTAAAACATTCGGGTAGCAGACGTTTTACAGCTACCAGACGATCTTCAAAAGATCCCTTGAATACAAATGTACCCTCGCAGCCTTTGCCAAGGACTTCATTAGAATTGAATGAAATTTTACCCACACGTATATGGCCATCGCCCAAATCAATCAGATCTTGGGCACTAATATTGCTGCTGCCACTACCACGGCTTCCACTGTTGCCCAAGGTTTTTGAGCCATTTTCACTTTGATTTCTTAACTCTTGCATGGAACTGTGCATGTACCAGAACATCATAAGCATCAACACAATGATGATGCATAAAATGACGTGTACCCGATTGCTGGGGTGATCCACGAACCATTCGTAGATAAAGGAACGAACTTGTTTGCTATTGTCTATAATTATCTCCTTGGTCTTGTTAAAGGCAAAACGACCAAATGTTTTATTGGGAATTTCCGATTCAATTTTCAATTCAATAACTGGTTCAGTTTGCACACCAATCTCTGCAGATGAGGGGTTTTCCTTGTCCGAGGAAAGAATGCTGCGACCTGGACCATTGAGCGATGCACTTATGGTTGCCAGTTGATGGTTGCTGTCATCTTTGGTAACAGCTGGTGAGGGCGACAACTGTAAGTTAACGTCATTAGGGCGATTGTAGTAACCCAATAAGATACCGGCATTCTTTTTCAAAACATCATCCAAGTAAACAGTATTTGGATCCACATTGGTGTCGGGACCATCCAACAAATGTATGGGTGGAGCTGTGGAAATTCGTGGTGTATTCTTGTCCACCAGAGATGGTAGGGCATACAAGCCATTGCCATGTTCACCCACGTACAAAGATTGGCTGAAAAGAGTAGAAAAGAAACATTAGCAAAGTTATGTGGTAGTATCGAATGCGATTCTTACAATAGTTTAACTGTATTGACATTGCCGCCCTTTGACTCATCCAAAATGGCCAGGAAGGCTTCTTCTGAGACCGTGGTAAACGGTACACTTAATAGACCTTCTGGCCCCAAAAGAAATGCCGCCACAACGGGACTGGTCAAATCATTTTTCCACAAGAATTTTCCATTTTTGCGATCAAGCGTCAAAATGTTACCATTTGTGGTAGTGGTCAGGTGTAGATATTCTAAAAGAACAAGATATTGATTACAATTTATTGAGAGAAACTTAAGAAATACAAATACTCACCATAATCCTTAGAAATATCTGGTGTTGTGGCCATTGAACTATAATCATAGAATGTAATATTCCAGGGCTTGGAATTTTTATTTTTATTAAGGCTATCGAACATCATCACCGTGTACTGAGTTCTGCCCAAGTAAATAGCGCGTGATGTAGCCCAGCCAATACGTTCACCACCGCCGCCACTGCTTTCCACAGATCCATCAAATCCCACTTTTTCTCGACGACCCGATTTGGGGTCGACAATAAACCAGGTATCACTCTTTTTTCCCGAATACAAAATACCATCTGAGGATCGGCAGGGTGCATTCGCCACCAGTTGTGGTATGGTGTAGGGCAGTTTTTTCAGGCTACCCATATCACCCAATTGATAAATGCTACCATCGCGTGGATCTGGCAAATATTGAGGAACATGAACATTCTGCTGCTGTTCGGCTCGTATTGGTGGATCTACAAAAATAAAAAAATAGACAATTTCAAAACAATTTTTATTAAATCAAAAAAATTTTTATTATTATTTTTTCCAATATCTTTCCAAAAAAACAAGCACACATTCTCGAAATGGGAATTCATATCATTATCAATCATCGCTAAAGTAGAAAATACCACAGAATTATCGAGCACCTCATAAATAATACATTAAAACAATATAGAATTGTCCGCAGTTGAAATAAATCAAAACGGTACCAAGAGCAGTTAGTTAATTTGTTTAGTTCTGCGATAAGAGCAAACATTTTCTACAATTAAACTAAAACACTTCAAATTCTAGAATTTAATGACGGATACGGGCGATTAAACCACATTTAACCGTCGAACTGTGTAGAGTTTGATGCGAAGTCATTTTACACCCATTGATGCATTTCAACAAAACATAGTTTAAATTTTGAAATATTTAGAATCGAAAAGTATTTGTAAAATGAGACTAAATTTAGATTCTCGAAAGCTATTTTGCCAAGATTATTAGAAGCTACTAAAACATATGGGTCGGTCATGAAGTCAAAATAAATGTTAGGCTAGGTTTTTGTTGACAGTCGCCAATCGGCGACCGATGGTACAATGAACCAACGCAGAACAGAAGTTTGTGGAGGCTGGCGTTCAGAAAATGTCTTGACTACTCCATAAGCATTTTAGACTCTTGAACAAATTTTCCAGGGTTGCAGGTTAAATGCCCAAGAGAATATGCTCAATCGACACCATCCCTTCCTCATCCTCTCATAGTCTGCAGAATTCGAAGAGCTGTGACACACATTCCTCCTCCCTAGTTCAATTAGCTCACAGTGAAGTGTCCTGGTACCCAACGAATCCACTATCCTTTAAGGCAATCACATTCCCATTGACGTAACGATACCAGGAAGAGACGCTAGGGCTAGACGCTAGTGAACCTTCTCTGAACAATCTGTTCATTAAGGTGGACGAAGACACCAGAGCTGGCGTATTCTGTCAAAATCCAATCATCAATCGCTCTTATAAACGTAATTACATTTGTATCGATTTTTCAGACTTCAGACTTTCAGATTCTTGCAATGAAGAAGACAGTCGAAATTGTAAAAGAACTTTGTAATAGAATAACAGGACCAGCATCGATAGTCAGGCGAGCCTCAGAGCTATCAAGTCAAGTGCCTTTAAATCGAGAGTACTTCATATAAGCTATTATGTCAGCTCCTTCAAGAAGGTACAAGATATCTAGGCCGAATATTATCGCGAAAATATTCTGGAGGGTGTATAGAAGCCTTGGGCACGCAAACATTTTGCCCGCAGACCTTGAACATCCAAAATCTGCGGATACCAATCCGTTGGACTATTGTGTCTGGAGTATTTTAGAAACCATGGTTAGCACTAAAAACTACCAAAGTGTCGATCACCTCAAGCAAGCGCTTCTCGGGGAATGCGCCAGAGAGCAACATTCGGGCAGCGTGTGACGGTTTCATTGACCTTTGAATTCCATAATTCGTGCCAAAGGTGACCAATTCGAACAAATGTAAACTTTTTCTAAAATTTGATCATATTTCCGACATTTGTGCTTTGATTCAATAAAATTAAAAAAATGTAAAAATTATGGCGTTTGACTTTGTTGCAGTTTAATATCTCACACTGTTAGGTTCTTTGCAAAAGCTCACCAATTAGAACAATATAATCAGCATAAACTTCGTACAATTTTGTTGCCGTACTGGAGATTTAGGATACCAAATGTTTATGCGGACCTAATCTCCTGGGCCACAGCGGTGTAAACCTTGTACGTAGTAATATGGTGGAGAAATTAGAGAGTCTAAATAAGATGACACAATTTGTTTATTTATAAGGATGTGCAAGCAATTTATTAAGGTTATATACACATGTTCAATAGAGTAGTCGACACAGTAGTTCGACACGAAATAGAAGCGAGAAAAACCAGCATTCCAAATTAATTTTTCATATTTTTAATTGAAATCCAACATTTTTCAAAACGCATCTACCTGGCATTGTATTTTTCTTTCCCAAACGCAAAACAAAAGCAGACCCTAAGTATTTTTTTAAACTTCTCTATTAGTAGTTCTGATCAGATTAATGTTATCAATCTATTCTTTCTCTGGGACTTCAGGAACGCTCAAATGTCTAATTCATATTCTATAACTTTTTCTTGTCCAATAAAATCCATTTGGTATGGGTATATATCATAAATTAAATTCTACTTGAGATTTCAGTATTACAATCGTGGCCAATATAAAATTAAGACCCATCAACAGAATTCCCCATAGACTCCCACCTATCTCTCACATCGTGCTTATATGTCTTTGCTCAAGTTGGAGGCTTGTTGCGCTATGAGGAGGTGAGGGAAACAAAAAACTGTCTGTGAATAGAATATTTCTTATCAAGACGTCTCCTTATCACTTTTTCTTTTATGTCCACACATACATAAATAAAGATACACATATGTATGTACATAAATAGGTATGTACAACGTAAAGGCACTTAAAACGCTATGTAGCTATGTATGTTGGGGAAAAACAAAGTAATAACAAACAAATAAATAAATATATTTTAAACGTTGAGATCATTGCTGCACAATGTAGAGGCAAATTAAGAGCAGACAAAATAAGTAAACATGGGCAAAAATGCATTTCTACACAGTTTCCAGGGCACGATTTGCAAACCTAAACATTTGAAACATCAATAAAAAATTTCTGCGATAGCATTTTAGTGAAGATAAGAGGAGCGTGTTTCCCATGTTTTGGAAGTGTATTCGTTAAGATTGTTGGTAATAAATTATTTATTGATCAGGAAACAAATCAGATTTACTACTTTTTTGAAGGATGCATCATTAGAAATAGGCTCATGGTCATAAAAATAAGTAAATCTCTGAAATTTAAACAAAAATTATTTAGGAGTTGTTTTGAATTATCCAGCGTTTAACAATTGCAATCTACAATACTACGGAAATTACAATACATCGAAATGATTAAAATTTAGACCAATTCACACCTCGGCGGTTACGTCAACTAGAAAAACTATCGCATCTTTGGCTCAGAAACCCCAAGAATGAATGGTTTCTGTTAATAATTTTTTAAGATCAGAGTTGGATGGTATTGATCTGGACAACGTGTACTTTCGACAAGAGAGCGCTGCATGTCGCACAGACAACAAAACTATTACCCTTTGCGAGATAACTTCTTGTAATATGTCATCGTGAAGAAGTGCGATAGTTTAATTTAGTACTTTGAGTCTTATTCCTCATGAAACATCTACACTATATAGTCTACGCCAACAGTCCAGCGTCGTCTCTAGACCTCAAAGATGAAATTCGTAAGGTAACCACTTTGCGATATGGTTATTCAAAATTGCATGGAAAAGATATGCAAGATATAACGGTATTTTGATGATTTCAGCCACTTTATTCAAATTTCGTGATTGAAGTTCGTAATGTGTGCTACATACTATGACCGAAATTTGAATATGCATATCGTATGGCCCTCATATAACTGTCCCTTCAGGTATTCGATATTTTGATGATTTTAGCGACTTTATTCACCGGAATTGTTTCAAATTTTCTATTTTAAGTTCGTAATGGCAGATAATTGAATATGCAGGTCCATGTCGTCGTATGGCCCCATAGGCAACTGTCTCTCCAGATATTCGGTATTTTGATGATTTAAGCGATATTATTCGCCGGAATTGTTTGAAGTTTGTATTTGAATATCGTAATGGACTATGACGAAAATTGCATTTACAGGTCCCCGTCTTCGTATAGACCCAATATAAAGGTAACTTCTATATTTGGAATCTTTATGATTTTAGTAGAATTTTTCAGCGGATATTTTAGTTGAAACCTTGCAAATTTCTTTCAAATGGTGGAGGGTATTCAATTGTTGTTTGTTTTACAAAAACAACGCATCTAATTGGAAAAGCCTTTAAAACGTTTAATTAAGAACAATTCACTTGAAACTACTAAGATTTCTCACATTCCATTCATAGTTTGGTACCACAACAATGACTTGCTTAGATTCCCAAAGGAAATTATAAAAAATAATATGATTCAGAAGCTCAGCAGCATAAAATGGAAGTGATGCTGTGTAATAACTTCCCTGGGTTTAAAAGACGTCGATCTTTTCAACATTTTGGCCAGCCAATGATGATCTTATCTGGAAAAGACGCGCTTGCTAAGTTAACTTTATAAGCACAAGTTTAACAGATTTCAAAATCTGTTAAGATTTCTCCAGTTCTTCACTCTCTACACAATACTAAGCTAATATTCGCCATAGTGCCACGTTGCGACAGAGAACATCCGTGTTCGATTTTCAAGTGGAAATTTATAGTTAACAATCTCTATCCACTTGAGAGATTAAAATAACACATACAGGCCTTCAAACCCCTTTAAAGTGGAATGTACTGGGATTTTTTTTTGGAAAATATGTTTCGAAAATAAGTTACAGATTTAAGAATGGGCTTCATGACACCGCATGGAGCCATAATTCTTATTGGCTGTTACTATAAGAATAACACGTGTTTTACTCTCAGTCATATGTGTCTCAACGGAATGAAGGGTTAAGAACCTAGGTCTCTTTAGGTAAAATCAGTTTCAGGACATTTCCAGACAACCTAGAAATATTGGTCTGTCTGTCTATGCACACAATAACTCTCTAAGGGACCATTTTGGCTCAATCTCAATACAAAAGGTCCGAATTTTGATTAACAGTACTCATATAAAATTTTAAATAAATGCCGGATTTTCTAAAAACTATGCGCATCCCACACTTCATCTAATACTTATAAAAATGTATTAGATGAAGTGTGAAAATAGAAAATATCGGCAAACTTTTTCTAATATAATTTGACAGTTCAAGATGTTCCAAAAAACTAGTCAATATAATCCAAACCTGAATAGTCGTAATATTTATATCAGACTTTCGAATAAAGGGTATACGTTTTGAATACTTATAATGAAAGTCTGAACATAGAACAACTCGTTACTTCTA